ATATATTTTTAAACAATAAATAAATTACTTCGTTATTAAATTGTAAATAAAATATTAAATTAAAGAAATTACACAAAAAACCAGCACTTTAAATAGTAAATTTGATACTAATATCAATATATTTTTTTCCCAATTTTTATGATATATTTAAATTTATATTTTATTCAAAAATAAAAATGTTATGGTTTTTTGGAACCACTAAAAACCGTATTAAATCGACATATATTAATAATAAAACAAAAAATTAAAATTAAAATATATCGCTATATTATACAAACACCATTTTAGTATTTATTAAATGTTAACGGTCAAACATTTACCCTAGGCTTAATATTGAAATAATGCAATTGTATGCATAAGGGATTATATATTATTTTTTATATTTTTTATTTTTAATATAAAAATATTTTATACTATATTATATAATGTATTCCTATTTTTAAAGAAAGAAAAGACGAAAATATCCCTTACGTTAATTGCTGGAAATATAAAAAGGTTGGAGGTTTTTCTATATCTCACGTTGGTAGGAGGACTAAACATAAAGAGTCTTGCAAGGCTTTACTCTCAATTGGACATTGAACAAGTTGATGGACTCATGGTGTGGTCATAAGTGGAATGTCCAATGTATATGCGCATGCATGGCCCAGGCCGCGAAATGGTGTGAGGAGGTGCACTTCATATGATGAATCGGAGTAGAAGTAGCCTCGTCCCGAGCTCCCGAGTTTTTTTACTAGGAATTATAGAGAGATTTTAGATAAATATTGATTAATTAAAAATCGTTAATTATCGTAATCATCCTCTGTTTTAGCAGATTAAAAATCGGATTTTTAGCTGGTTATTTAGACTTTTAAAACACGTTTTTTTAATTAAATCAGGGATAATTTTAGTTGGAGAATAAGTCTCCCAACTAACCCTTTATATCCGATTCTTGGGTTGAAAATTGGGGGATTAAGGGGTTAATCCCAGTTAGAGGTGGCCAAAATTCGGTCCCGGGCCGGGCCTTAACCGGTCCCTACCGGGCCTAATCGCGACAAAAACCGGCGGTAACCGGTCCCGGTGATTTTCCTTGTAACCGGTCAAGGTTATTAGTAACCGGTTGTCCCAACCGGTCCCGGTCCCGGTCCCATAACCGGTCCCGACCGGGCCTATTCAAAAAAAAAATGATTTTTTTTTAAATTTTTAGTTATTAATAAATTTTTAATATGTTATTAATATGTTTGTAATATGATATTTTGAATATGTTTTATTATAAATACATTTTACTATAAATACGTTTTGTTATATATATATATATATATATATATATATATACGTTTATAAATACGTTTTGTTGTATATACGTTTAAAAATACACAATAAAAATACGGTTTATTATATATATACGTTTCGTTGACTTTCGTTGACCGGGCCGGGCCGGGCCGGGCCTATAACCGGTTACATAACCGGTCCCGGTCTTAACCAGTCCCGGTCCCAAAAAACGTCAAAAACCCTAACCGGTTCATAACCGGCGGTCCCGGTCGGTCCCGGTCCCTCTCCGGTCCCGGTCCTCCGTCGGTTACGGGCCGGACCGGGCCCATTTGGCCATCTCTAATCCCAGTATAAATACCGAGTTAAATCCTCTCTACACCCAAAATCTCTCTCTCTCTATAGTGTTTTCTCCTTGCGTCCGAGTTCTTTCCTGCTATCAAAATCTGCATCTACTTTGCTCTATTTCGTCATCATAGCTGTTGACAATCGGAATACATAATTGCATCAAATTTTGCGGCTTTGCGACTTGTGACTCAGATTATAGAGTTGTTGCATAAAACCTCTAAGGACAAATTCATATTGTGCAAATGCCACTTCACATGGTTACCAATAGGTTGGTTTTAAATTATTGTATTGTGATTTAATTTTCCATTCACTAAGTGAACAAGTCTGTTTCTACCTCTTTCTTCTACTGATTCTATCACAAAAGATGGATTCAATGTGTGTGGTGTAATTTGGTTTGGAGTTTCAGTTTCGGATTTTAAACTTTTCATCTTGATTAATAAAGTTTTAAACTTTGTTCCTAAAGATTTACACTTTAATAATTTTCAACTCATATAAATTATTTTTCAACATTAATTGAGTTAACAAATTTTTGTTCACTCTATTAGAGTAAGAGGGGCCATAACCATAAGAAATTGACTGTCAAAAAGAACCATAGACAAAAGTAATGAAGTTTAGGGATCTTAAGGGTTGTTTGACAATTATTAAATGGTTTGGTGCAGAATAATTAAGTGGTCAGAATGATTAAGAAGCTCCCATTATATAGTGCAAAATGAAATATAATTGTTCACACTGGAATTAGGGTGCTAAATGGTTAAGGGAGACTCATGATACAAAATCATTAATAGGGTTTTAGAACCATTAAGAGGCATATATTTTTTTGTCAAACAAGATTCATCTCTTAGCGATTCAGATGTTGCCTCTTAATGTAACTATTAAGAGATAAACAAGCAAATTTTTAGTGATAATTCTTGTTTACTTGACATACATAAAGACCAAAAGCTTAATTCACTCTTATTATTTAACAAACACTTATCAAATAAGCGTTTATTAAAAGACCTGTAAATATCCAACACAGTTTAAACCTTTTTAGAAAAAATTTGGCATTTTGTTTTTAAATTTCAACATAGAAATATAATAATAATTTAAATAACAACGTATGTCAATAAATAGCTAAAAGACAAACAATTAATTATATGAGTTAGGAATTCGATTAAAACGTAAAACATCTATTAAAAAATGTCATGATAAGATTAATAATCTATCCAATCATTCTTCATATCTCCGGTTAAAGATATATCAAGAATAAATTGGCGTGAATCGTTGATATATTGATTATAAATTGGTGTAAATTGACTTTAATTGATTTTCTTACCACTTAAATAATATTAATGAATTTAATTGTTTGTGTTGTATTAGATCTATAATATAGTTTTTTAAGTTTTTACTACATAAATACATCGTTACAAAACAAAGTGGCTTTATCAACAAATTATTCAGTTGAAAATTTCTAGCGGATCACTGATTATCGACGTATATGACTGTCAATGATGGTCAATCCGTAGGTAATCATGATCAGCGATCATGTTTTTTTTTTCCGACTGTGAGATACGTTGGTGATGGCATTTTTAAGTAGATTATAGACAGATTTTTCCATTAGTAGAACGAAAGAGTTTATAATGTTTTATACATTTATGTTATGATTTAAAAAAATAAATATTAAAATACATATATACATATATATATATATATATATATATATATATATATGTATAGGGTTAAATCAAACGAGAACCATAAAAATGTTACAAACCCCTTGCGAACTGATCTAAAAATAATTTTTCACATAATTTATTTTCATGAAATGCTAGGATTTAACTACTGTTTCACATATATTTGTTTCATGATGTGATAGTTTCATGATTACCTACAGATTTAAGATATTGCTTCAAATTTTTGTTTCATAACGTGACGTGAAATACAAGTCTTAAACCATGACATGCCATGATGGCTGTTGCAACGAGCTTTTCCAAACATTGATTTTTAAACAATATCATTTTTTTTGTGATTTTACATTTTTCAACTAGTTTATCAGCTAGATTTTGCAAACGTATTTAGTTCCTCAACTAGCTTATCAATCATCATCTAGTTTATCAGTCATCAACTAACTTATCAGTCATCAACTAGTTTATCAGCCACCAACTAACTTATCAGCTAGTTTATCAAACATAGCCGTCACTACCAGACATGCCTTTAGAATAAAATGCAACTTTTGTATTTATAAAAATCTTACAACATTGAATTTGTTTAGAGTATTTTAGGCTTTGAGTTCGAGTCGTATGATTAAATTTTGTCCAATAAATTTCCAAAACAAACAAATAACAAAAATATTGTCCACATGGTTTATATATTACTATATAAAATATTCACATCAAGACAAAAAGTTCTTCAAATATCTTTTTTCTAATCGCATACAACCAAAACAAGATTCTAGACGATAAGAAACCTCCAAACATCGATAAGAAATTTCAAAATCAAAATTAAAAACACACAAACCAACTTTCGCTTTATAGGATTACTGTCCAATTATTTTACACGGGATAAGATTCATACTGATATTCCTTGTTGCCAAAGATACATCCGGGAGAGTTGAGGTTTTCGGAACGATTATCCACTTCTAACAAAACCTTTACAAATTCATTCACATCACATGGAAGCTCGAGCGGTCCCTCGTTTCTGTATCCATATTCACACTCGGCTTCCACAAGAAACGCTTTGAAGAGTGGGTGATTTGCGTACTCTGCTCTAATTACAAACCTTTGTTTTTGAGGTCCAACATATACCGAGAAACAACCTTTTGGAGCAATATTAAGTGATTTCCCCTTGTTTGCATCTAACCGAGGCAACGATATGCTTCTCTTGGCGAGAGCTCGTTTGGTCTTGATTCCAACACTATGAAATGATTTGCAACGTTCCCAGGTCTTTAAAATTAGCCCTTTCTTGTCATTACTTTTAACTATGTCCATACTAACCGACCTTTTCTCTACATATAAACAACTAAAACTCACACAAACACTTTTAACCAACCATTAGACACAAAAAACGAAACATACATGAAAGAAAGAAAGAAAGAGATTCATATTAACCTCTGTCATAAACCAAACAAACTTAGCATGATCATCATCCTCTCATCTTGTATGCTACTCGTCGGGTTTTTTTCTGACTGCTTCAACTTCTGCATCCAGCTTTGAACTTACGGTTATGGATTCGAAGCTCGTTTACGAGTAAACTTCAGAAAAGCGAACATGCCGCAAAGTCTATAGAAAAAAAAAGAAGATGTCTTAATTCAATCAGAGATTGTTGATAAAAAGGAGAGAGGGACAAAGGGAGAGATGCTTTGAGAGATGGATGATGGATGTAGCTCTCAATATATAAAACCACTTTTTCATCCCTTTTAAAATGCATAATTGTTTTTAATATTTTGAATCATGTTTTTATTTAACATATAATTTAATTTTTAAATAAATATAGGTTTTTTAAATATTCAACTATTAATTAAATATCTAAAATAATTTTTAATAACAACGGGATAAATCTTATCAGTATTTTATAGTAACTATAGGTTAAAAAAAACAAATTTAAATGAACCTTAATCAAAAAAGAAAAACATTCCATATTTTTGTCGACATGTTTTTTTGTTATCTTTTTGTCAATATCATTGTTTTACAAATTAGGAATCTTAAAAATAAAGTTATTAATAATATTGAATTTGGTTAATAAAGTTTTCTTGTTTTATCATTATTGATAAGTATTTTATATCATGATTAATATACAAAAATTGTTTATTTTTCTTCACAAAAGACAAAAGATTGTTAAAGTATTATTTAAAAGACGATGTCAAATATCAAATAAAAAATAATTACTGAGAAAAAAAAAATATATATATATATATATATATATATAATGTGTGTGTGCGTGCGCGTACTTGAGTTCATGTGCAAAACTGTTTTCGTGAGACACATGAGATAACTTTTTGACATGAAACTTCACAGTAAAATGTTGTGAAAGTAAAAAAAATCGAACATTCACAGCAAAAACACCGTGAAGATTACCTTCACAGTATTTTGTTGTGTAGTTTATAGTATAAAAATCGTATATCACATATCTCACGAAAACATTATTATCTCACATGATCCCAAGTCTCTCTCTATACATGTGTGTATATGCTTGAGAGATAAGGAGTTAAGTATAACCTGAGATCATGTGCTTAAATAGTAATTTCAGTAAATTATGGAATTGGTCCATATGGTTTGTTGATAATTTTGGGATTGGTTCTTAAATTTCATTAATTACATGACAAGCATGCACATTTGCATTTTGTTTTGGAACTGATCTTCACCTTAACATCCGTTCACTGTCTCCGTTTAAACTTGAGGGCATTTTAGTCCTTTAACAATTTCCTTTCATTTTAACAATTTTGTTTCAAAAACTCTTTTTCTTAATGATCATCTTCCTCACCTTAACAATCACAAAATCTCTAATCAGAGACTTAAATCCCTTTTATTTATTTAACTTCATACACATCATACAAACAAACTAAACAACAGATTCGATTCATTATCACTAAATTAATGTAATCAACTCTTGTGTTTTTTTAAATCAAAAACTATACCAAAAAGAAAATATACCATAACGAAAACCTTAACTAAAATCAAGAACAATAATATCCCAAGTAAAAAAAAATGAAATAAATCAATTGACCTAAACTCGAGATGGACTCGCCTTCACCAATCTAGATTTGTTCACCTCCACCGACCATCTTCAAACTGAACATTGATTAACAAATAACAAGAACTCGACATGGTGAATCTATATTTCGGATCTTGTTTTTCATGTCGGGTTTTACCTCCCTTTCATACGACAAATTTATATTTCGTATTGGAATTTCACCCCTATTTTTTAGGTGCTGCCAACCTGTAAATAATGGAGCGATGATCTTTGTTTCTGGTTTATGTTCCATATGGGTCGTGATTGTTAGGGAAGGAAGACGATGCACGGGGAAGATGGTGCAATAGGATGAAGTCGTAGATTGGACGACACTATAGGTATGGAGTTATACTTATGGACTTAGGTTTCAATATATGTATTTTAGGGGTTTATTAGTGTTCAAAAAGGTGTGACATTGTCAATATGACATAAGATGTGTCTCCATTACGATAAGGCTTGTAATTTTTCTGTAAGACATGGCTCACGACATGACGTCTTGAGGCACACCGTGTACGTTTTTTTACAAGACATGATTTTTTTTTAAATATATATTTTGTTAGCTTTTAAGTTTTTACATTTTTAACTTTAGATTTAACACTTTTATAGATTTCTCTAATCACATCACTCACAATTTCACAAACACATACATGTCATGGACTCACGACTAAAAAGAAGTTACAAAGTTACTCTTCTAAGTTATACTTTGAATAATTAATCAAATATTATTTTTATAATAATAATCTATATGATTTTTCTTCTTATAATATTGAATGTATTTTTTAATATCATTATTTAATTAAATAATATATATATATATATAGAAAACATATATGTATATATATAATTCTATATATGACATACATATACAATTTCGTCATCTTATGTTACAGATTAAAAAGCGTTATGTTTACAGTTTCAGGCTTAATTTCACCGTCACAGATAAATGGTCATATTTTATTGTCGGCTTTGACAGATATATCATTTATGAACAAAAGTTAGTGTGTAAAGGTACTCTATAACAAAATGCCAACACAGAAAAGTATCATGTATAAATGAATTTCAAGGACTAATTTTATAATTTTCAACAAATCTAAGAGGCTAAATCCGTAATTTAATCTAATATTTTTTTATGAAATTTAATCAAGTTATAAATTTGGCCATGTTTTGTCGTGGACTTCCTTTATTCCGCTTTACAACTACTCAATTTCTGTTAATTTTTAGAAATCTTATTTTTATCTGTAATCATATTATAATTTACGTGATTTTCATTTTTTTAGTATAATTATTACGTGGTTTTCATTTGAGAACTATCAAATTATGATAATTTTGATTAGTGGCGGAAGACCATTTAGGCCTTTAAGGGTCATGGCCCTTGGGCTTTTTGATTCATTAAGTACACATCTTTTGGGTTTTTAATTGTTAATTCAAAAAATTTTAATCTGCACCCCTCGGCACTGGAGTCCACTAAGCTTTTAATCCAGTCCAACTAAAGTCTAAAGCTGTTGATTCTTCATAGCCACATGCCCACATGACCATATCGACCGGCAAACTTACACGAGCAACTTATGAACAACATTATAATCTCCAGTCTCCATTATTGAAATTACAGACCTGTTGATAAATCATCCCTCCCCGCGTTGACCAATCTCGAGTGAGTCGAGTCTCGACCTCCAGCCTCTCGCGGTCTCACCCTCTCCAGTCTCCAATCTACATGGAAGAGCAACATGAAGAACCAAATCCGAATGCAAATGGAATCTCTGTGATTTTAACTTCATCTTCATCAAATAATCCGATTATA